TTCCTTCCTTCCTTCTTTCTTTCTTTTTCTTTCTTCCTTTCTTTCTTTCTTTCTTCCTTCCTTTCTTTCTTCCTTCCTTCCTTTCTTTCTTCCTTTCTTCTTTTCTTTCTTTCTTCCTTCCTTTCTTCCTTTCTTCCTTCGTTTCTTTCTTTCTTCCTTTCTTTCTTTCCTTCTTTCTTTCTTTCTTTCTCTCTTTCTTTCTTTCTTTTTCTTTCTTTCTTTCCTTTCTTTCTCTTTCTTTCTTTTCTTTCTCTCTTTCTTTTTCTTTCCTTCTTTCTTTTCTTTCTTTCTTTCTTTCCTTTCTCTTTCTTTCTTTCCTTTCTCTTTCTTTCTCTCTCTCTTTCCTTCTTTCTTTCTCTCCTTCCTTCCTTCTTTCCCTTCCTCCGTTCCTTCCTTCCCTCCAAACCTTCCCAAACCCTCCCTCACCAAACCTTCCCTTCACTTCCCAAACCTTCTTTCCCTTTCTTTCCTTTTTTTCTTTCACTGGTAGTTTTAAAAAGAGTGGTTGGCTATATTATTCCATTATGGCCCAGTGATTAGGGCACATGCGTGGAGGCGAGTCATGTTTTCTCAGTGCTGTAAACACTTGGTTATTGCATTTGGGATAGGAACCAACAATTCCTTCTTTCTTTGAAGTGTTTAAAAAGAGGAGCTCCTGTCAGTGTTCTGATGAAGACATCACCCCAAATAATGCACTGAGGTAAGGGTTACTATCCACAGAGGTATGAATATGCTCAGGAATTTCTCTGTCTTGCTAATGGATGCTCCCAATGGAGATTCCCCAGGGGGTTGAAGCCCATTTGAAGGTGTTCAAGAACCCTGGCTGTGCAGGATATGAACCCTAAGCATGCCCTCCTCAGCAGTGTTGATCCATGGGCAATCTAAACCCACTTGGCTCACGCTGCTCCCAAAAGTCACCACCATAAGCTTCTTCCTCTCCCCAGGCACCATGTGCCCTGAGGCTTTGCCTCATGCTCAAAATCAAACTCACACCAAAAATGCCCATCTCTGGTGCAAAGACTGCCCATCTGCGGTTACTTTTTCTTGTGCATCTGTCCTACCCAGAGCTGCTTGAAATCTTGTTAGACAGAGTGTCTTTTTGAACAGGTCTTTCATCACATCTATCCTCAATATCTGCACTTGTAATAGACTCCACCACAAACCTGACACTTGTTTTAAGGGCCAAAAATCCCACTGTAGCTGGAAAAGGTTTTGACACAAATGTGTCAGATGGCCTTTAAAAGAGCTTCCAGAATTCCTGTGGTGGAGAAAAACACAAAATGTATCTCTTCTGACTGTCAGTCATATTTGTCCATGCATCCATACTTCCTCTCATCTTAGCACAGAAATGTCATAAAAAATAGAGCAGTGACCCAGATGTCATATTTGTATCCAATAATATGTGTAAAAATCTGTTTGCATTTTTTCTTTTCTGTTATAAACGTTGAAATCTGCTAATGAGCACTCACATTTTCTGTTATCCTTGACTGAAATGTCAAAATATTCAGTAGATCTTCTCAGACTGGAAATAAAGAAAGAAGATATTTAATTTGTCTAGTTAGCTATAATACACAATATTCACATATGCTAATAAATAATCTGTGGAAGATTTTCAATCATGTTTGCCCATTAAGCATATAACTGTTATAACTCACACTGAAAGTACTTTCTTGTGTCTCTTAATGAAGGCATACCAGTTTTTCTCTGTAAATGACAGCCATCTCATCAAATAATAGTAACAAAAAAAATTGTGTAGTAATACTGATTCCTTCTTTGTCACACATCCAGAAGCATAAGAAGCAATGAAATATTCATTTTTGAGGAGTGTTACACCAAAACTACATTAAATGACCTGTGAAGCACCTGGCTTACTGTGGTACAGTGCCATCACAAGCAAGTTAGTTTAATTGGCTTCAGCACAGGACAGAATAAACGCTTTGACCCAAGTTCCTGACTTCTTTGCCAGAAATGAAACTCTGTTTTGTGTGCTTTTATAAGTACAGACAGTGTAAGAGGTTAGGCCAACAATAAAGCAGAAGAGAAGTAATAAGGAAAAAGTATATACTGAATAAAAATGTAATTTCTGAACAGATAATTGTCATTACTGGCTTATTTAGTATATCTTCTTTCCTCCATGCAACTGTTTGGTTTTTTCCCCTCGATGCACAACTTGCTTATTACTGTAGAGTTCCAGCAGAAACAATAGCTTTAAAGTAAAGCATATTTTCTGTTCTTTTTAATCTTACCCTGAGGAACAATCCACATGGAAGCTTAGCTGACTTTGCAGGAGATCAAGAAGCAATGAAAAACATATTTGCCTAGAAGAACCTCTGGCTTAAAAATTGGTGTGACACAGGTGCCTATACTACTATTATTCTTAAGGGATTTTACAACCTTTAAAATCAGGAGCTGGATAAATACTTTTAGCTGACAGGTAAATGAAAAGGAATTTTAGAATTTTGTCAATAACTCTAAGGAAGATGAACTGTTTATGTGAAGTCATTATATACTCACTAGGGAAACACAAAGGAATTGGGATGCCAACAGTTTTGGGCAGCGTGATAAACACTACAGAGATAGAAAGAAAAATTCTTTTCTGAAACATTTTCCTTTCCCCAATCAAAAGTTTATAGGATGTTTTTTTTTAATGGGAAGTCTTGACTTAGGGCATATTTTGATTAGGAGTGATTTATTTGCTTATTTTAATGGGATAATAAATAATTGCTTTATGTAGAAAGCTTACAGATTTTTTTGTACAGATTTCTTTTATTTATTCCTGACTTACATAACACTTCTAGCTAGTGTGTTCCCATTGAAGACAGAGGTGAGATAGAGGGAGACACAGTTAACAGGATATTCATTATACGTTGCTAAAATCTGAAAGTTCTTTTTACACTGTAGCAATGAGTGGGACCTATGTTGACACAAACTCACTGAAAGCAAGGAATGCTCTCCTCAATGGTGAGAAATCCTATAATAAACATATAGAGCCCTGTGGGGCAAAACCAGTTCCAGTGCAGTTAGATCTTGATCCTTACATTCCACAAGTTAAACTGTACTAGAAAAAGAGGGAATACCTTTCAGTAGTGTTTCTCACTTGTGCTGATGTAGAAATCCATGTATTTGGAATAACATACTGTGCTGGTTTAAAAGTTAACCAGCAAGGGAAAATGAACTCAATTCAAAAGAGAGATTTATAAGTCAGAATAACAATTTATTAAAATAATGCAATAAGTACAATTATACAGACAGACAATTGGTTTTAACCCACAAAACCCAAATGTATAAACCAGCACCCTGGGGTATGAACAAAAGTGGTGTACCTTGGCCCACCCCCGAGTCCAAAGCAAAGGGAGAGGGGATAAACCTGCTGGTGGGAGAGCTGCTGCAGTCTGGTCAGAAGTGGTGATTGCAGTCCAGTCGAGGGTGGTGGTCCCAGTCTGGTTGAAGGCAGTGGTCTGCAGTCTAGTTGAAGGCAGTGGTCTGCAGTCTAGTTGAAGGCAGTGGTCTGCAATCTTCCTCTGGATCCCACTAGAGGTGGCAAGGTTCTGAAACTCCCAGTTATATACTCTCTCCAGTTCAGGCGGGAGTGCTCAGTCCCTCCCTCAGAGTAGGGAATTCCATAAAAGGGCATGCGAATGCTCAGTCCCTCCTCCATAAAAGGGTATCAGAGCGGGGAATTCCATATAAGGGTATCAGAGCGGGGAATTCCATAAAAGGGTATCAGAGCGGGGAATTCCATAGAAGGGTACAGGAACATCTTCCCACCTTGCAGGCCTCTACTGACAACAGTTTTTGGGAAATGGCATGGAGGCTATAGAATACACAGTTTTGGGTTACACCCATCCAGTGATGAATTGGTCCCAGCCGTTCTAACCAGGACACATACAGTACTATAGGATGGTTTTAAGAGAAACCTTGGAAATCATACATTTAAGAGCTATACTACTGCAGACTTCAAAGTCCGTTTGGTCGCATGCCTGAAATGCGACAGCTACTTAATATCAACTTGTACCTAAAAGCAACAGCTTTGTAGTATGTGGTTGCTTAGGGTGATGGAGGCCTGAACCCAACAGCCTGGGGTTGCTCTTGATTTACTAGTTTTGAAGTAGAAAAGTCATTTAAGTTCTGATTATTCTGCCAGTTCTTCTTTCTGGAGCCAGCAGTTGTAGAAAATGGTAGTCTAAACGTTTTCCATCACCATATTCTGAGAATTGACTCAGCTGGAAAAGACCTGACATGGGAACTTCATAAACCTCATGTGAATTAGATTTTTCAAATACATTCAATATAAATCCTTAATCTCTTATTCTTCTTTGATATACATATATTTAGTAGAAAGTTTCTCCTTATTTAGAGGTTTTTGTGTTTTAAACTGTTATATGTTCTCTTTTTTTTTTTCTGAATACTTCATTTAAATAATGAATCCAAAGCCAGATAGCAGAATTTTCCTTTGGTTTTAAGTTTCCAATAACCAAGTGAAAAATACATGTCAGGTTCTAAATAATTATTTGATTTATTCTTTTTTTCTTAGCTTTTTTAAAAAATAGTTTGTACGCTGTATTACAAAATTAATGTATTTCCAGAAAAAATAACTAAATTGATTACACTGAAACTAAGCATGATTTTTTTTCTTTCTTTAGACTAGAGAAAAAGCAGATTTCATTTTGCTGATTAATTTTCTATATGTATTTACATTTGACAGCCAAAAAGGAAAGTTTTAAAATAAGATGTGCACCTCTCCACATCAACATACACCCTTCCTATTTTCCCTGCATATGAGGAGATGTAATGGTCTTACGGTAAAACCTGATTTAAGACTTTTAAGTAAGTCTTCTTTATTTCCAGTAGTTGTCAAAAGTGCAAATTTTAGGAATTCTTAGGAAATTAATTAAAAAAAATAAGGAAAATGTCTATGTATGTGCCCACATGTTGAGTACTGGATGGAGACAGAAAATGAAAGAGAAAAGAAGATAGATAAATAAATAATGATAACAAGCCATGAAAAGGGATTTCACTAACCATGAGTGATAAAATGAAGATTTATTCTGGTTAAGTAAATACTGCTTGTATAATTTTTTTTTCCCAATTTATTGATTTCTATGGCATGTCTAGGAATTGTATTTTAAAAGGACAGTCATCATCACCTTGTATAAGAAGAAAGGCACTAAATCAGACTGCTCAAATTACTGTGGTATTACTCTGCTCTCCATTGCTGGCAAAATCCTGGCAAGAATACTCCTGAACAGACTAATACCCGCTATAGCAGAAGAAATTCTACCTGAATCTCAGTGTGGCTTCAGAGCCAACAGGAGCACCACAGACATGATATTTGTTCTCAGACAACTGCAAGAGAAGTGTAGGGAACAGAACAAAGGTCTCTATGTAACCTTTGTCAACCTCACCAAGGCTTTCGATACTGTGAACAGAAAAGGTCTTTGGCAGATTTTGGAACGTTTAGGTTGTCCCCCCAAGTTCCTTAAAATGATCATCTCACTTCATGAGGATCAGCACAGCCAAGTCAGATATGGCAACACACTTTCTGAGCCCTTTCTAATAAAGGATGGTGTGAAACAAGGCTGCGTTCTCGCTCCCACCTTATTCACAGTCTTTTTCACCATGATGCTCCAAAGGTCCATGGCAGACCTCGATGATCAGGACGGTATCTACATTCGATATCGTACTGATGGAAGCCTATTCAACCTAAGGCGACTGAAGGCCCACACTAAGACCCTAAACCATCTTGTCTGGGAGCTGCTTTATGCTGATGATGCTGCCCTTGTCGCCCACACAGAAGCAGCCCTGCAGCGTTTAACATCCTGCTTCGCAGATGCTGCTGAGCTCTTTGGGCTGGAAGTCAGCTTAAAGAAGACTGAAGTTCTCCATCAACCTGCACCTCAGGAAGTCCTCCATCATCCCCACATCACCATCGGCCAGTCAGAACTCAAATCAGTCCAACAGTTTAATTACTTAGGCAGCCTCATCTCCTCAGATGGTAAGATTGACGGGGAGATAGACAACAGGTTAGCGAAGGCATATAGTGCTTTTGGAAAACTCCATAAAAGAGTATGGCGTAATAAACACTTGAAGGAAAGTACCAAGATCAGTGTTTACAGAGCCATTGTGCTGTCTACTCTTTTATATGGTTCCGAATCATGGATCATCTACCGCCACCACCTGCGTCTCCTAGAACGCTTCCATCAACGCTGTCTCCGTACAATCCTGAACATCCACTGGTCAGATTATGTGACCAATACATCTGTTCTTGAACAGGCAGCAATCACAAGTATTGAGGCCATGCTACTGAGAACGCAACTGCGCTGGGCAGGGCACGTCTCCAGGATGAAGGACCACCGCCTCCCTAAGATCCTGCTTTATGGTGAACTTGCCTCCGGCTGCCGCAAGAGAGGAGCCCCGAAGAAAAGATACAAGGACTCCCTGAAGCAACAACTCAGCCTCGGGCATATTGATCACCATAACTGGTCTACTCTGGCCTCTAACCGGGAGGCCTGGAGACAGTCCATTTATAACGCTGCTGATGCTTTTGAGAAAGCACACAGGATCACCCTTGAGGAGAAAAGACAACGCAGAAAGAATCGAACCTTGCAGAATATACCATCTAAGGAGTCTTTCTGCTGTGTCTTTTGCAACCGGACTTGCCTTTCTCGTATTGGCTTTTTTAGCCACCAACGTGCTTGCAAGAAACGTGGGTAGAGCCCTTCCCAAATCTTTGTTCGCGAAGCCTAGCCATGATATGATAATTCCATACCAATCATTATTTTTACTGCTTGATTGCTCCATACTCACCTATTTGCCAAGGGTAAAATTAATGAAACATTTAGTCCAGAAAAATTTTTTTGAATGCTGACATAAGTTAGGGAAAGGAAAATGTATCATGCAAGCAACAATCCGTAATTTTATTTTCATTTAATTAGGATATGAAGAAAATATTAGAGGTCTGAGATATTGGGAATCTGGGGCTATTCTAGGAAACTACCTAAGAAGAAGGAAAGATGCTCTCAGCGCATGAACTTGCACGTCCTCCTCAGCACGTTCTCCTCCTGAGATTTGACCTGAGCCATCTGGGCAGAGTTTGGGAGGAACAGGTCAGGCTAGGAATTGCTGCCAGTAAATGATGTGAGTCTTGCTCTTATTTTGAGTGGCAGGTCCCTCCAAAGGGTCTTCTCACGTCCTTGTGCCTCTGTTGTGATATGTTTATGTACCAGCAGGAGCACGGACCTGTCCTAATTGTTGCTTGAATTGTAGACAGTATTGCTTATCCCACACAGTCTGCTGGCTAGAAGGACAGTATGCAATTCTGAGAGCAGGCAGAAATAAAAGAAGGTTGTGAAAGGTCCTTCAATGGATAACATACCTTGCTGTCAGACTTCCAGTCAAATGTGAAATTCATACAAAGATGCACTTATTTCTCTTCATCCTTTCTGGAAGCCAACAAGCACTTTGTGTTTTCTGTGACCTGTGAGGGAAAGTTTCGTGGAATGTTAAATATCCATAATGTCAGTTTTCCAGATTAAATGTTCCCAGACTAAAGGTTAGGCTCAGACATTAAGATGGAGTGATCACCTGATCTTTTCAGATTGCTAAATATGAGGAAAGGATTAGGGAGAAAAGATAGAAAAGATGTTTCTCCAGTGAGATGCAGAGATCTCTTTCTTTTCCCATATATTCATGGCACAGGCATACAACATAATCAAGAACTTGATGAGTTTCCAGGGATCTAATAAAACATAATACTATTATATTACAATAAAAACACTTGAATAAAATAAATCATTAGAATATTACCCATGAATTATCTTCTGTATTTAAACTGAAAAATTACCTTAGAATTTCTGGGCGATTTGACTAGTTAAGTATTTTTTTCCTTGAAAAAGTGTTGTTCATCAGTCAATCTTTAAATTCATGTGACTTTTCTGCCGTTTTGCACAATGAAGCATATAATTAGCACTATCATCAATTTTACAGTTGCTTTTCAGAATTCTTCCATACCATAAAATGGGGGTAAGGAAACAAGAAAAAATCTCTATGAATTAAACAAAAATGGAGGAGCAAGATTTGTAAGGAAAGGACATATATCTTTGCTAGGTTGGCTGAAACACGAATTTAGATGTTTGAGAGACATGGCAGAATTTAATGAAGAAACTACTAGCCACAGTGGGTTTTTTCTGGATTTTTTTTCTGAATTTTTTTTTCCTCTCTTTCATGTTTGCTACAGGAGGTATAATTTGCTTCAGAAATGTTGCCCTCCTCACATGCTTTGATCTTTACTGTTGCCTTAGCACTACTTCTACAAATAATATGTGATTCCTAGTGCAATTTAGAAAAGCTAAGAAATTAGAGAAAAAAACCATGATTTACATGCATCCTTCTTTTAAGACTTGACTTATTTGTGAGAAAGACTCCTTTAACTCATACTACCTGAGTTTAATCCTGGGTTTCCTGTTGCACCAATGCAGTTGTAGTTGACTTTGGAATTTATAATTATTAATGTTCCCATTCCTGATAACTTATTAAGTCTTGACTTTTATTGTCATGCCTTAATTGCTGGTTTGTTCATGATGGCAACAGAAGCAGTTTTGATTAGGAAATCAAAAACTGTATTATTTCCTAAATTGTCAAATCTCCTGCTGTGTTCTCTGTAATATCTTATTTATTTTTTTACTTGCTTCACTTTAAAGTAAACACTGCAGTATAAATAGTGGTGCTTTAATAATTAGTTAGGGGACCCCTGGTGGCCTAGTGGTTAGCGTGCAGGACTCTCACTGCTGCAACCCAGGTTCGAATCCAGCCAGTCCCCTGGGCAGATGGAACCCGTTAGCCCTGTGAGGCCATCCATCTATGAGAAGGTCACTCTAAACAAACCTACGTCCTGAGGACCTCACTGCCATTGTCCAAGCTTGCTTGGCCCCAGCAGATGAACCTTAGGATTAAAGGGTGGGCTCAGTTCAGCGCAGGCTGTGTCTCACCTAAAAAATCCATTGCGCAGGCTGGAAAGGTAAAAGACCTTTCCCCAAATCTTCGTTCGTGAAGACTGGCCATTATATTAATAATTAGTTATCACAAAAATCTATAACAGTAGTTTAGCAACTGCTTATATAAGAAATCTGAATTGTAGTCTAAACCTGTGGTGAAATTCCTCACTTTCATGAATAATATAAGTACATTGTCAGTTAAGGCTGCCTATTTACCAGTAAAATTTTTCAGAAATATTTATACACTGCTTTTTGTTTCAGTAAGATCTTGAAAACTGTTATAACATCAGACAGACAGCCCAGTACATTATCTGTAGTGAGATTTTTTTAAAAGCACATTATTCTAAGAAGCATTGTCATGCTCTGTCAATTTTATTCTTCTTTCCATAAAACCTTCTCATTTATAGTAGCATGAGAAAGGTAATTTTTATTATTTGTTCTGTACGTATAACAAGTCAGGTTTTATTAGGGTTTGGTGGACCTTCATTTTCCCTTTCTGGCATTTCTGCAATTGTATATTATGTATAAAAAATGTATTTTCTGATTTTTCCCCAGCATTATTTTTAGAATGCAAGTGGTGGTGGGGCTGGTTCTGCAGCACAGATTCTTTGTAAGCAGGAAGTTACACATTTCTCACGACAGGACATCTGGTATAAGGAAACTTTATTTATTTAATTTTCTTTATTTTAAAAATATGACACTGTTCAGTGGTCAAACCAAACAGCTCCATGGTTCCCTCAGGCTCTCTTTTGTGTACGGATGGATATTTCTAAGGTGTCTAGTCTTTGTGGCTGGTAGAAAGACTTCAACCACCAAATACACCAGCAGTGGCAAGACGGATAGATTGGGAAGTAAGCTGTGTGGTTTCCAGTTATCTAAAAGTCATAGTGATTAGTTCCAGATCAAATCACAACACCTCAATGCAAGCACAGTTAGTAGCTGCACTACTGGTTGCTGTAGGAAGTGAATTCTGCTGCTCTTAGGCAACTGGACAAACTTGAGTACTCTTGAAGCTTACTTTCTCTTATTTGCTCTTTTACTTAGTAAATTGAAACAGCAGGGGCCTTCGACTATAATGTAATAAATATACTGTAATCTCAGTTTAATTATATACCCATTCAATACACATAGGTTATTTTGGAGGAAAATCTATTAGTTTATTTCCAAGTATTCCCTATTTTCAATGTTTTTTCAAAGTTCTCTGAATAAAAAAAAATTTAAAAGTCTCTAATTGATCTTTTTGCAAATACATGTGAAAATAAATCTTATACCTGAGTTCATGGTATTCAAGCTCATTACTCAGATTTCTCCTTTAGCCATTCACTGGGTGGAGCAGACCCTGATTTCCAGGAAGTCATCTACTAAAGACTCAGTTTGAGGCACAGAATTTTTACGTATTTTGCATAACAGATAGGAGAAGAGTCCTTGGCTCTGTTCACACTCTGACTTTGCATTCTGATACTGTGAACCTCCATTTCCTAATCCCAATTTTGTCCCTAGCACTAACACACTGCATTTAATATGTAATAATATCATGATCTTCACAAGCATTAAAATGAAACTCATTATGCTATTTAAGAACTTCTTATAAACATAATCTATAAACTCTACAGCTATAGCAAGTAAGTCCAGATGTTTCTTCACAATCACTAGAGGTCTTTGGAAGTAGCTCCACATCCATTCAGATATTTTGCATACAGAGTACTATTGTTTCAGTCAAAGGCTATCTGAAACTCATTAGCTTCTCTTGCAGAACTTTTTGCAAAACATTTTTTTAATATGCCTAAGAATTTGTGGATCAGCCATCTCAAACCTGTTGCCAGCCCTAAATGGCTGATTTTTATTGAGCAATACATCAGTTAAAAGATATTAATTGCAAAGATATAAAGTTTTGTTTTTAATTTACAGTTTGATAAAAAAATCTACTGCCTGCTGAAGAAATACAGGTATCTTCAAAAGAAGAGAATTTTGCGTATTAAAGAACTTTTGACTAGGCAGTTAAGTTGAGGACACTGCTAATACAACAAAGATGCATCTATTTATCACTGGAAGGGGAAGATCCCTGATTCTGCATAAGGAGAGAATGGACTGAGTTTTGAAGACAAAATATTAAATAGCCCTAGCCACTGTGGAAGACTTTCAAGACAAATCTGACAATAAACCGTAAAAAACTTTCTTAAAAAATAAAAGAGGGTATGTTCAAAGCCTGAACCCCATGGCTAACACCTCGAGAACAAATAATCTTTGCCACAGCAGAAGATTAAAGTTTTTGAGTGAAATGTATATGTCAGGTCAAGCATAAAGATGATCAAAACAGTTGAGTTGCAAGTGGATAAGGGAAATGAAATACAAGGTTTTCAGTGTTATAGTTGCTGCTCTTGTGGTAAAAATAGTAGAACTAACTACTGCTATTCCTGTGACAGCAAAGTCTTTGTATTGGAAAAAGTCTGAAGTGACAGACAAATAAATATTGGTATTTTGATCACTTATGTCTAGGAATTAAAATTAATCTTGATCCTCACAACAGAATAAATTGTCCCTGAAAGAATAAATTGTCAAGCTTAGTCTTCCCTTGTAAAATATCATGAGTTAGCAGAATATATCACATTATTTAATCTGTTTTAAGAGCACTTGAAACAGAAAATGAAATGCTTCAGGTATACTGTGTTCAAAGGGCTTGACCTCATTGTACTAACAATAAATCAAGATAAATGCCTTTCAGATTATCAGCTGAATTGGTTTTAAGCAACATGAGATCAGAATCATACTTCTGTAATTTAAAGAGGAACCTTTTACACCACATGACACTGGAACAAATTCAGCAATTACCACATGTCAGTACTGTAAGAAAGGTAGAGGCAAATTAGAGACTGAAAAAAATATCACAGAAGACATGAAAATATATCCCGAATCAGGTAAAAGAAAAGAAAATAAGAAAATTGATAAAGCAACAGGAAAAATGGATTGTAAGAGAGAAAGAGGAAAAAGAAATCTCAGCAGAGACAGTGTAAAAGAAAATATTGAAAAAGAGGGATGAATATCTTATCTTAGGTGGATGTGATATAAAATGAATATCAAATTGACCTGTGGTCAGATCTAAACATCAAGGCAGATGTTCGTTATCCACCCACATCTTAAAATCTATCATCAAGGGCATTTGATGCTGACTCTCCTTGCTACAACTGGTCTGTGATCAAAGAGTTTGCTAGTTCCAAGAGCAAGACAGAGCCTTTCATCTCCACGCTCTCATGTCATGCTGCCTCTTGTCTTTGCATCAAGGGGTGCTGTGCCCAGACACCTGACTTCTCACACCGTTCTAATACCATGAATGTCCCTGTCCTAGATAAAAATAATACTAAAATCTTTCCTGTGACAGAATTACTTGGGGTAACGGTCTAGTAGGTAAAAAATCAGAGCACTCTATTAGTGTGGTTAGAGAGACAAGAGGGATCAGGGGAAAAAAAAGAGTCTCGAAAATGAGATG